TGGACTCACTTTTTCAACTGGAAGAGCTTTGTGTGTTTTCTGTGATAATTTTAGGCCTTGGTAATGAAAACCTGTATTATTCTTATTTTTTTGTAAGATTTACTTATTCTTATTGGAAAGACAAATTTACCAGATTTGCTGGTTCATTCCCCAAGTGACTGCAACAGCTGGAGCTGAGCTGATCTGAGGCCAGGAGCCAGGAGCTTCCTCTGGTTCTCTCACACAGGTATAAGGTCCAAGAACTTGAGTCACTCTTCACTGTTTTCCCAGGCCGCAAGCAGGATGCTGCATGGGAAGTGAGGCAGATGGGAAGTGAGGTGGATGGGAAGTGAGGCAGCTGGGACAGCAGCCGGCAACCATATGGGATCCCAGCACTTGCAAGGAGAGGTTAAGCCAATTGAGCCATTACAAACTTGCATTCTAAATTCAAAGTTTAGTGAGCCAACTGGTGTGTATTAAGAGCCACAGAAATATGCTTTTCTGACTCAGCAGTTAAGTATTTAGGAAACAGTGAGAGAAAGGAAAGACACACTGTTTTTTTTTTTTTTTCCGGAGCTTACAAATACCTAGTTAATCACTCCCCCTCCGAGACATTTATTTAATCATTTCAGTACCTTCGCCAGGGCAGCACAACCAGCCTCTCATTTTCACTGTGTGACAATGAGGTTCTCCACAGCTTTCAACACCACAGGAAGTCCAGTGTGCCTGGGGGAAATTGATGGGGCAATTACTAAGAAGAGCAGTGATAGGTGAGCGGATAGTTCTGGCTGCACAGCCTGGATGGACCGGATGGCTCAGCCTGTATAGCCCATGAAAGCCTGTGGATTAACCCTGGAGGGACAGGCCAAAGGGTAGAGGGCCCTTGGGTTGGAAGGTCATACAGGATGGACAGGCAACCCCTACCCCCCCTTTTTTTTTCTTGCACCAGGCACAGTCACATGGTGAACATCCTAGCATCTGGGCTGGAAACCACAGACCCCCTCACTGCAGCCCATCATCACAAACACAGAGACACTTCTAATGGCTCAGAAGTGGAGCCCATGTCCCAGGTCAGATTCCATGAATAGCTAATTCACATTGAGAGTGTTACAGTGTGCCATGCAATGTGTCAAGTCACTTCGGAGTCTTAATTATCCCTGTTCCGGGGTTTTCCCAAGTTCACATACAGCCGATCAAAACTGGGTTCCAGACCTCTCTCTACCAATGCCAAGCCTCGAGCACTCTCTGAGCAGGCCATGCTGCCTGCTAGTCAAGAGCGCAGCAGAATCTCGATCCTTCCTTCTGTAGGGCGGGTCTTCCTCCATCTGGCTGCTCCCTTAATCTCCTAATGGGTGTTTGGTGCACAGATTTGAGCCCTCCTCATCTCCCCTGGGAGTTTCTGACACAGATGGGGTTTGGGCATCTCTACGTTTCCATGGTTACCCCTGGGGCTCGGCTAGAAAGTCAGGTTCAGGAGACACTTGACTGACCAAACATCAGAGACCAGCACTGCCAAGCTGAGGGTACAAAGATGGAGATTGGGGTGGTGTGCTACAGTGCTTAACCTTTTACAAACAATCTTTTGGGGCCCAGCACCGTGGCCTAGCGGCTAAAGTCCTCGCCTTGAACGCACCAGGATCCCAAATGGGTGCTGGTTCTAATCCCGGCAGCTTCACTTCCCATCCAGTTCCCTGCTTGTGGCCTGGGAAAGCAGTCATGGATGGCCCAATGCTTTGGGACCCTGTACTTGTGTGGGAGACCTGGAGGAAGTTCCTGGATCCTGGCTTCGGATCGGCACAGCACCGGCCGTTGCCCTCACTTGGGGAGTGAATCATCAGATGGAAGATCTTCCTCTCTGCCTCTCCTCCTCTTTGTATATCTGACTTTCCAATAAAAATAAAATAAATCTTTGAAAAAAAAAAAGAAACAACCTTTCAAAACCTGTTGCAATCTATGATTTAAAAAAGAAATTTATATTTATTTGAAAGGCAGAGTTACAGAGAGAGAGATAGAAATCTTTCATGGTGGATTCATGCACCAAACAGCCACAGCTGTTGGAGCTGGGCCAATCTGAAGCCAGGAACCAGGAGCTGTTTCTGGGTCCCATGTGGGGACAGGGGCCCAAGCATTTGGGTCATCCTCTGTGCTTTCCCAGGCCACTTAGCAAAGAACTGGCTGGGAAGTGCAACAGCCGGGACATGAACCTGTGCCCCTAGGGGATGCCAGTACTAGCTGAGCCTATTACACTACTGTTTTGGTTCTGCAATCTATGCATTTTTATTTCCTAAGAATCATGCACACATTTTGACGTACAATTTAGGGAGTCTATCAGTTCTGTATTGCTGATGTAATAAACTATCACACATATAGGGCTTAAGATGACATTTGTTAATTACAGTTATTGTGGGGAAGGGGGTCAGCAAGTGGACTTGCATCTCGGAAGCTACATTCAAGGTGTTGTGGAGCAGTGTGCTTTTCTGGGCGCACCTAGAGGGGTGTCACCCATCGCAGTGTAGCTATGTTTCTGCTAAGGGTTATTTAGATATTCACGGCATAATTTTTGGGTCATCCAACATGATCAACTTCAAAATGAACCTGCTGTAGCACGTTTGAATCCCAAGTTCCACCTGTGGCTATCACCCGGCAGGGCCACATCAGATGGGATGCTCCCCAGTGCTGTAAAAGAAGCTACCATATTCGTTGGCTCCTGGATTCCTTTTTCATCTTGGTTCCCATCTTTCTCTCTGACTCCAGGCAGCAAAGGGATGCAGGCTGTGGTTCAAGTTGGGGCATATAAGTGTTCCAGTGAGTGCGTGTGCGCGCGCCCGTGCGTATGTGTGCTGGGCGGGGGGTGGGGGGGTGCGGGGAGGGAATGTCATTCTGACATCCCAAGGGGCTCGGAGAAGCTCTGAACCTGCGTGGAGGGCAGCGGCGGCATTTGTTTCAGATTCCTCCCTGCAAGCTGGGTGTTGAATCCGCAAGGAATTCTCTTCCCAGCTGCGATGGAGGGGACACTGGGAAAGCAGCGTCTGGTCTCTTTCACGCTTTCTTGTTCTCACCTGTTCTCACCGAGTGCGAGGTCCCAAGGAAGGCAGCCCACGCGCGGATGCTGACAGCCCCAGTCTCTGCTGTTCTCTTGGCTTAAGCGCAGCCGCATCTCCACCCCTGACTCCGCCGTTCAGGCAAGAGGGCGAAGAGAGCAGGACCAAAGTCAAGGGCGGCTGAGTCTCTTTCCCTTTCACCCCACCCACCTCCAAGCCCCCACCCCAAGCCTCTCCGGCCCCAAACAACAGGTGCTGCTATTTCAGGTTCTAGCTGTGGTTCCTTGAGCATTCCGGCAGCCAAAAGGCCCTAGGGGAATCACAAGCATTTGCTATTGATTTTGAAAGCAAGGCACAGTGATGCTCCTAGTGTCCTGGGCTTGTTCGTATAGGGAATGGGAAGTGTACTTGTGGCTACTGGGCACACCTGGTGATCTCCCCCACCTGTGTCCCAGAATGCAAATGAATCGCTTCCCACCTGAACACATCCACAAGCCAGGGGAGGCTAATGGTCCTTGTCAGAATCCCCTCCCCCACAGGTGCTGCATCTTCCTACTAACTTTCTTCAAGCCTTTCATTCATCATTTGGTGCCTGCCCCTCTCCTCTGTGGACTCTAGGGGATACCAAGCTCACGGGGGCACCCCTGTGCCCGAGTCTCACCTGGGGATTTCAACCAGGGCCGTGGCAGCTCAGGAATGAGGCTGGAAGGTGAGAGTGGATGGGATTCTGCAGATCAGAGAAGGGCCAGGCAGTGTTGGCAGGCCATCTGTACGCTCTTTGTGGCCAGTCACACTGTAGGGTTTGGGGAAGGGAGGAGATGGATGGATGTGCAGATGGGGCCTCTTGCTTACAGCCTGCCAAGGAGCCGAGATTCCAACCCAGAGACCAACTGGGCCAGAAGGAGGTTTCTAACCATCATCCAAACTGTGTTGTGGAATCAGAAAGTGGAAAGAACAGAGTACAAGAAGGGAAACCACAGTGGTGTGGTCCAATTTTGCAATACTGGCAATCTTTTGGTTTCCAAAAAAGGTTTAACTATTTGGAAGGTAATGTAACGAAGGAGGGGGAGAGAGAAGAGAGAGAGAGATCTTTGATCTACTTATTCCCTCTCAGGATGGTCACAGAGCCAGGCCTGGGCCAGCCTGAAACCAGGAGCTTCCTCCGCGTCTCCCATGTGGGTGCTGGGGCCCAAGTACCTGGGCCATCTTTCCCTGCTTTCCCAGTTGCACCTAAAGGAAGCTGGATGGGGCGGGGGGGGGGGGGGGGAACTAGAACAGGTGTTTCTGTGTGGGATGCTGCCTGGCCAGGCTTAACCCACTAGGGCCACAGCTCCAGCCCACAGCCTTCCACTGGAGGAAATGATTCACGGACACTGAGGAAGATTGCCAGGGTGGTAAGGAGTAGTGGCTAAACGGGCCCAAACTTTGGAAGAGGAGTAGTTCAGAAGGTAAACTTTGTGCTCTGTAATTTACCACAAGCAAACACACACACACGCTCGCGCGCGCGCGCCAAGCCTGGCACGCACGCGGAACTCCAGGACTGCGTTTCTGGCCAGGGCCCAGGTGAGTGTAAGACCACACTCAGGGAAGCCCTTGAATTAGTAATCCCAGGAGTAGTACTATGTCACTAGCAAGAGTACTTGCCGCGGAGTGCGGAATGTCACCCCATCCCGCACCCAGGTGGGGGCCTGTGAGGCCGTGAGGTGCTGAGGGCGGGCGGAGGGGACTGGGTCATTTCTGCCATCCTAAGTTCCCAGGGGACTAGGTCACTCCTGCCATGCAAGCTCCATCCCCGTCCCCACAGCGCCCCAGCGGGTCCAGCCCGGTGTCCGGGCGCTGCGCCGGGGAGCGCGCGGTCGTCCTTAGGGGGCGCTGCCGCACCGTCCAGCCGGGGCCAGCCGGGCCGCCCACCCCGCGGACGCGCCTCTCTCCTCAGTCCAGCGCCGCCCGGCCCGGGACCGCTCTGGCTCCGAGCCGCGCAGACTGCTCCGTGGGTCCCAGGACGCCGCCCGTGCTGCGAGCTTCCCGGGCGCTGAGCGCTCAGGCTCCCCCGTGCCGTCCGGTCCTCGTTGCCGCCCCCGGCGCCCTCAGCGCGTCCACGCCTCCGAGCAGTGAGCTCCCTCCCGGGGGAGCCTCCGGCCGTCGGCGGCCCGCGCGCGCTCGGCGCCCTGCTCGCGGGGCGGAGGAGGAGGCGGCGGAGGCGGCGGCTCGGCCGGGGATGGGCGGCCCGGCGGCGCGGAGGGGCGCCTGGGGGTTCCCTGCGCTGCTGCTGGCGCTGCTGGCCGCGGGCAGCCCTGCGGACGCCTACAACCTGGACCCGCAGCGTCCCGTGCACTTCCAGGGCCCCGCCGGCTCGTTCTTCGGTTACGCGGTGCTGGAGCACTTCCACGACAACACGCGCTGGTGAGTGTCCCCCAGCGCCCCCAGCGCGCTGCCGCCGCCGCCTTTCCGGCCTCTTCCGCGCCGCCGTCCCGAGGGGACGATTTAAATGTCTTGGCGGCGCGCGGCTCGGCCGCCGGCTCTCCGGGCCCCGTTGACGCCCCGCCGGCTTCCGCGGAGCCGGGACACCTCCTCGGGGTCCAGGCCCAGAGGGAGGTCGTCGGGCGGTATCCTGGCTCGCCGGGCGGGACTCAGCTTCGTTCTGGTCGGCAGAGTTCTCCCAGTCCCCCCCGCTGGGCCGCCTGCCTTCTCGGGGCGCGCCGGGGCTGGCCGGGTGAGCGGCCCGGCGGCACATCCCTGCCGGCTTGAGGGAAGCTGTGTGCGCGCTGGGGTCGGAGAGCGCAGCTCCAGGGCTGGATGTGAAGGCTCCCCACAAGGTCTGCCTTCCTAGCGGAATCCAGAGACCCTGGGATGCCCCGAAGGACCGCCCTGCCTCCGGGGCTACCCTGTCTTTATCTCACCTTGGCCATCAGATCTGCACGCCCCAGGTGCCAGAAATTTAGAGAGGGACCTGATTCTGCAAAGGTCAGGGAGTCTTTTTGCCCTCCTCCACCCCAGAGACTTGAGGAGGGGTGGACCGCCATACCCAACCTCAATCTGGAGGGAAAGACACGGTCTTGTAAGAGAGAAGTTAGGATGTGGATGTTCTCTCACATTCAGGGACATGTCCCTGTCAGTCCCTGGTGACACTGAACTGGAGACTGTGGCATGATCATCGTTGGGGTGCCAGGCTGAGAGATGGTGCCATGGTTTGTGTGGAGAGTCCTTGGCTGTGAATGGAACAGAGGCAGATGGAAAGGGGAGGTTTGTGTATCTGAGTCCTCCAGCGTTTCGGGAGGTTGGGAGTGTTAGCGATCCTGCTGCTTAGGATAAAGCTGCCTCCAAGAGTACTGGGTTGCACAGTCCTTGTGCAAGCCCCTGTCTGTTCCTGAAGTTGCTGAGTTTAAGTCCAGACCATCTCTTCCTGCCCTTGCCACTCTCTGCCCTCCCTCCATGAAACAAAATCAGCGGGACCCCTGTCTTAGGTTCCCCCAGACTGTACTGTGCTGGTCTCCCAGGCTGGGGGAACTTGACACCCAACATGGGGAAGGGGAGCTGCTGCAGAGAGGCAGGTCCCAGGCACCCATAGCCTTCGGGTGGAGATTTTTGATGGCTAGAGGGAAAGCACCCATGCCTCGCCTCCTGGGTTTGCACGGATGACAGGTCAGAGCATCGCCCACCCCTCAGCCGGGAGTGAGGCTGACCAAGGCAGGTGTTCTGCCTGCTTTGTTTTTGAAAAGTGGATGAGGAAGAGCTGTGTGCTGTGGATAGATCCGCCAAGGGCAGGCAAAGGCAGACCGCCTTCAGCTTGGCACCCAGGGTTGGGAAGCACGCGTGGGGGCCATGGGCAAGTTGAGCTGGTCCAGGCAGTCTCTGCCTGAGTGTTTCCAGGGTGTGAGATGCTGGTCCCAAAGTGTCCCCTCTTGTTCTGCTCCGGAGGCTGCTGCTCGCATCTCCCTGCAGACCTCCAGCACTTGATAAGGCTGAATCCTTTTCTCCTGTGCAGATCCCTACCAAGACCTTGGCTTGTGCTGTTGCATTGGTTTTCTTAAAGCAGTTGCCGTGCATGTATAAGATTCAGACCATGTGGACCTCCACCTTCATGTTTAGCACTGGAGTTGCTTAATTGGCTCAAAGACGGGTGCCTTTTCTCCCTTTTTAAAAACAAAGATTTTATTAAGGTAGATTTGGAGATCTATATCTTCCATTCACTGGTTCACTCCCCAAATGGCCACAGTGCTGGTGTTGGGGCTGATCAAAAGCCAGGAGCCTGGAGCCTTTTTCTGGTGTCTCAAGTGGGTGCAGGGACCCAAGGGCTTGGACCATCTTCTGCTGTCTTCCCATTTACCTAGGCAGGGAGCTGCAGCAGAAATGAAACAGCCAGAACTCAAACTGGTGTCCTCGTGGGATGCTGGTATCACAGAGGTGCTTGTTATGCCATGGTACTGGCCCCAATTGTTGGTTTCTTCCTAGTCAGTCTTCGAGCCCAAAATCTTTGAAAGATTTGTCTATTTTTTGAATTTATAGAGATTAAGAAAGACAGAGAAGATCTTCCATTTATAGGTTCAATTCTCAAATGACCACAATGGCCAGAGCTGAGCTGGTCTGAAGCTAGGTGCCTTGCTCTGGATCTCCCATCTGAGTGCAGGATGCCAAGAACTTGGGCCACTCCTCTGCTGCTTTCTCAGACCATAAGCAGAGAGCTGGATCAGAACTGAACCAGCAGGGACACGAACCGGTGCCCACATAGGATACCAGCAGCACAGGGTAGAGGATTAGCGTGTTGAGCCATGGTGCCAGTCCCTGAGCCTGGTCTTCCAGCTTCACTTGAGATTCACGCAGGTTTTCCGCACTTACTGATCATGATAAGGAACAGCATGGATAAACATCCTCACAGCTAAGTCCTGGCGGACATCCTTGATTATTTCCTTAAAATAAATCTCCGAGTTTAGAGTTGTTGGGTCAGAGAGCATGGAGTTGAAAGACGTGCCCTGTTGTATTCGGCCAGTGCCAGCGGAGCGCAAGATTTGCTTCGGGGATCTGCGTCCTCTCTTCAGGCACGAGACTTGGCAGGAGTGTAGTGAAGGCTTGCCGTAACGCAACAGAAGAACGTGGGCATTTCCACGGGGGTTACCCTAGAGGGTGGAAGTCTGAGTGGGCAAGGAGGGGCAGTGGAACAGACCGCGAAAGGGACTGGGGTGTGGTGACGTTTTGAGAGACTAGTCAGGCCAGTTGTTAAACCTTGCATCTTTTTAAAATTGTTTACTCATTACATTTATCAGAAGGAGAGAGAGAGAGCGTGTGTGCAATTTATTTATTTATTTCTCAAATGCCACGACAGCTGGGTCTGGGCTAGGCTGAAGCAGGAGGTCTGGAATGCCATCCTGTTTGGGGGGGGGCGCATCAGGGACCCATCCATGGGAGCTGTCCCCTGCTACCTCCCTCAAGCTGGAACTTCAGCTCCAACCCAGGTCCTCTGCTGTGGAAAGGGGGCTTTTCTTAGGGGTGTCTCAACCATAGAGCCCAACAGCTGCGCCTGTGTCCTTCTTGGAGGAATTCTTGCAGTTTCTTCACATGATAATTTGTGACTGAAGACATCTGCTTCCTCTGACCACCTGTTTTCCAGGTGATGAAGGGATGTGCAGAGAATGGGGAGCCCAGATGCCAGGTGGCAGAGCTGTGGGTCCTGTGTGTGCCCACCTGCATGCTGTGAACAGGCTCAATGCAGCAGAGCGTCTGGGGGGGCTCTGTCTCCAGCAATGTTTGTGTCAGTTTGTATGCAAACACACAAGTGACTCGGTTTCCTTTTGTATTTTTTTTTCTAATGACGCCCAGAGGGTGTCTGTGTGCCCAGAGCCAGCTTCCTCTCCTGTGCCTCCCATCCTTGAGTCCTTGGCATCATTTGAACAGCAACAGGAGTGCCAGGGACTGTGGACAAAGCCCATTTCTGTGCTCTTCTCGGAGACATGGACCAGTTCCTCAGCTTCAGGGCCCCTGACTGTAGCTTCCTGTGTTAGAAATAAGTGCAGCCCAGCTTGCATCCCCCACTTCTGCTTCCCTCCTCACAACCCAGTCCCGCAGCCCATACCCCTGGTGTTCCGGAGTCCCACAGTGGCGGGGTGCACTGGCTTCCTTTCTGGTGACATGCTTCCTGCCCCCCCTCTCTGGGGATGTGGCAGGATGCTGGGCCCCAGGTTCTCGGAACCGGAAAGATGCACTTGGCTGTTTGCTTTGTTGAGATTGTCCGAGCATCCTTCACTGAGGCATAGGAGGCGATTCATGATTCAGGGCCAAGGAAACCGGGGCATTAAGGCTGAAGATGGAAAAGAACCAGGGAGACAGTGCTGGACAGTGCAAGGTCTTTGCCACCAAGCCAGATGTGTTGCTGTCTCAATGAAAATGCTAAACAAGTGGAGACTTCAGTCCCCCGAGTCTCCCTGGCCAGCGCTCAGCAGCTGCCTGTGGCAGTAGCTGTTGGATCAAGCTATATGGAGAGAGCTGTTGGGGTATCCATCAGAGAACAGGAGTGGTTTGATCTGATGAGAATACCTGGACCACCCAAGGGGCTGCTTTCTGTTTTGCCCGCAAGACCCTAGAGGGTGCCCGTCTGTGTGCTGAGCTGAGGGGCAGGGATACGGAAAGGTCATGTGTCTCCTTACTGATGGCAGTGCGAGTCTGATGCGAGACAGGTACAAGACTTGGGCTGCCATCTGGAAGGCTTGTCCCCACGTGGCCAGGAGAGATTCCTGGCAAGGGAAAATGGTATGTTAGGAGGGGCCTGCTGCCCTCCTCCCACCCCCCAGCCCTGCCAGGAAAGCTTCCAGGGAAGGTGGTGGCGGTCCTGCCTTTTTGTCATGGCTCTGGTGGGGAGCTTGGTGCCAGGTTGTAGGGAAGGCAGTGGGGGCAGCTCTGCTTTCGTGCCTGGGTTTTGGATATAGGATTGGCAGAGCTTGCTCCCTGTTCATTCCACAACATCTTGGGCTGTTTGGGTGGGGGTAGTACACACAGGAGTTCCAAGCCTAAGCGAACCCAGAGGCGTCTTCTTGGGACTTCTTGGGGGCGTGGGGGTGGCTTCTGGTGTGGTGCTGTTTTCCGAGCTGGTGCTGAAGTCTAAGGAGAACCTTCCAGGGCCAGGAGATAGACGCTCCTGAGCCTTGAGTGTGGGAGTGTGAAGGGCCAGCCCTTGGCCAGCTCTACTCCCTGGTGATAAGCTGCTCTACAGGAAGCTGTCTCCTTCTGATAACTTGTGTCCTGATTTGTCCCAGCAGAACGTGTCTGTTACATTTATTAAAAGCAATCCCTGTGTTCTCAGAAAGCATTTACTTTCAAGGGATGTGGGTGTAACTGTTAACAATCAACATGAATTGCACGTGATGGAATCTGTTTGGTGTGTACCACGGTTGGATGCTTTCACGGGGGTGATG